TGATATCATTGCTCAAACAGTTTTGGATAGCACTATTTAATCAAAATAGGTGTAGGAATGCGAAAAACAATCAGCCAAACACGCGGTGTTAAAGTAGCACCGGATGAGCGATTGGAAAGGATTTTGCAGTTCTGGGGAGATGTTCAAGTCGGAGAAGTTTGAAAGGGAGTAGAAAGAATTATTAAGCGAGGAGTAGGGAATATTTCTCATGGATCCACAACCCTCCGCCAATCCGCTCGCCGTTCCGCTAAAAAAACATGCTAATCTCGAAAAGACAACAATCATATTTGAAGATGCTGCAGTTTCGACATGAGAAAACTGGTCGACAGTTCGTATTTTCGCTATGCGCCAACATTTTTAATGTAATTGGAGGAAATGTGCCGAACAAAACAACCCAAAGCACGAATTCAGATGGACGCAAACCTCATCAGGGCTGCTCATGATATCAAAGTCGTCGTCAAATGATGTGTCGGCCTTTGTCTCTAAAAAAGGATTATGCATTAAGGAGATCAAGGGAATTCACAACTTTTCCCAGTGAAAAAGAAGCATAACACGTACAACATTGTCGCCATACGGAAAGAAAGGAGCACTTCGTTCAAGAGTTCGTGCCGCCTACAGCGATTCTAGTTCTCACAGCGCGCAAATAATCACGCTTGCGCTTTCACACCACCCTGGAGCATCCTCTCGTGCCAAAATAAGGATCTACTCTAGGCGCCACGAACTATGACATCAAAGCTCTCGGATAGCGACAGCCCCAGCAGTAATTTACACTCCAGATCATAGTGATTGAGAAGAATTGTAACAATTTACCTCGAAATTTGGCACCACCAGCGTAGTTCTGATAAAACCGTGCCAGTAACACTGTAAACATTCAATCTTGAATCCGTATCCACCGCTGGCGTAGCTTCGGTGTGACTTCAGTGTTATCCTAGAAGAACAACTGAACTAACGTATAGCACAGCGGCATGGATACGACGTGAGCGCACATAATAATTTGAAACCATCAAAATATTGTTGGTCCCTTATAAGGAATGATGGAGATCGCACGAGAAAGTGAT